CTATTCTATTTTAGATGAAACCAAATCCAAAGCAGCCCTGACTCTCCATTTCAACCCCACACTTCCCCCAGGCTCATTCCTCCCCACCACCCAGCCCCTACCTTCTGGAAGTGCTCTGTGATTTCTCTCACAGTTTAAACATTTAGTGAACGTGCTATGAGTCAGGCATTTTTGTGTAACTTTGCGTAAGTGAGTAGATTTCTCATGTCTTCTCTTACCGACTTTTGGTGTCAGCTCTGGTATCCTCTACCCAGCCCTGGTCACAGCCTCACTAGGACCCTGCGACACTTGAACACTGTCAGAGGGATCCCTTGATATGTCTACTGGCGTAGTATTTTCAGTAATTTGACTTGGTTGAACTGTGGTCCTACCGCAGGCATTGAGGGTGAAATATGGCCCAAGGGCAGGATTGTGCATAAATCCTGGTCCCAGAAGTCAGCTCAGTCAAGTGAATGAAGATGGGTAACCAAACCTTGGACACTGAGACGACAGCTGGAGAAAAAGGGCGAGGAGGAAGTGGAGGTTTGGGACTCCACCACAGGGTTGGGCACAAGCCAGAAAAAGGGCATCTCAGACGGTTTGGGGAGTTGTCTCAAGGCAGAGCCCGGGAACGAGGAGGGGCCGGTCGGACTCACCGCTGGGGAGGGCACTGTACCCAGACCGCAAACCGAAGAGCAGGCCACGGTAGCGCAGGAAGGCTTCGTCCAGGACCGAGCAGCCCGCTTGGGCTGCGGAACTGACATGGTACCGGAACTGGAAGTTGTGCGGGGTGATGGCGTAGTGCGTGTCCGAGGTCTGGATGTACTGGGGCCAAGGCCACACGGCCGTCGCCGGCCCGGGGAACGCTGCCGCCAGCAGCAGCGAAAACCAGAGCCTGGCGCCTGCCATGGCGCGCCGGTCGCCTCCCTCCCGGGGCCGGGCCACGTGAGAGCGGGGTCACGTGAGCGGCGCCCGCGTGACAGTCAGCGTGTCACGTGGCCGCAGCGGCTCTTCGGCGGCTTGTCGGAAGGACGGGCTTGGCTGGCGTGAACCGGCAGCTCCTGCGGGAGAGGAGCTGAGTGTCCCCCAGAGCCAACGCGCACGCACTGCAGGGGCGCCCGCAGGGGAGGCGGCGGGGCCCGCGGGAAAGGAGGTGGCCCGGACCGCCGACTTCCGGGCCGACTCTCGAATGAGGACTGAGTTCGCCAGGCCTGCTCAGAGGTCAGGGACGCCCCAGGCCCGGGGAATTTAAGAAGCAGAGAAGCAGAGGGTTAAAACCACAGGTCGTTCTGATATGAAACGCTGTGAGATGGAAAGGGGCCGAAATTAAGCAGCCAAAGTGGCTCCGCTAGAGAGGGAGATCAAAAGGTCACAAAATGTGATCTCCTTATGACTGAGGGAAAGAATGTGTATTTTCAGAGCAATCTTAAGGCCTCCCATTTTCTGCTAGCTTCCAGTGTGTGGGCTCTTCCCTTGGTAGTTGATGATCTGCTAGTAACTGCCCCCAAATGCCCTACCCCCAGACAAAATCACACACTGGGGAATGTACTTAATGCAGTACGACAGTGCTTGAATTTAGGGTGCAAGATGTAGAATACCCAAGATAGGACTGGTCCTGCAGGGGCTTACACAGGAAGTCCAGGAGTCAGGACTTTACTTTGTGGGCAATTGAAAATCATCCTCCGAGATTTGCATTTTGAGAACTCATGTTGCATAGTTGGATGGATAAGATACCAATGAGGGGGTCCTTTTTTTTATTGGAGGTGGAAGATAATGAGAGCTTGAATTACAGCAGTGGGGAAGGAAGAGGGTGTAGAGCCAGGAATAGTGGGTGCCCAAAAGCAGAAGGGTTAATACAAGAGAGGCTTGAGGGCTGATCAGTGAAACCTCTGCAGATGCTGTGAGTCCAGGACCCTGTCTTCCTTGTTCACCACTGTATTACCAGAGCAAGTTGAATCCCTGACTACAAAAAGAGATAAAAATAATGCTATATATGACATTTGGCTAGCCGGGAATTTTTTAAACCATAAAACTGCATTTTAGTGTTAGAATAAATAAAGATCAGGAAAATGAACTTTTTAAAATAAAGGGTCCTTAAAAATCATAAAAATTTAGGTTTTAGTTCCTAATTTAGTAGTTATATGCACATGGCTAATAATGGAAAATCAGATAAAGAAACACTGTCTCTCATTTCTGTAACTTCCAGGGATTCAACATGAAGTTTCTCTTAGGTGATTATGCTAGAATGGAGCTTACAGCAAAGGAAGTAGAAATTAGATCTCACAAAGAAAGGGCAGGGTATATTCCACATTTTACCAAATGGGGGACTGAGATACTACTTACAGTTAATACAATAAAACTAAATATGTAATTACAAAGCAAACAGGAAATCAGATCTCACAATCACAGTTTCAAACTCCAATATTGCATATTTACACTAATTTCTACATTTCTTAAACCTAAATGTTCATTAGCCCTAATGAATGGGCACTTGTGTGATCACAAGGCCAATTGCACACCCAGCTGGGCAAGTTGTGATGGGAAAGGGCTCCAGAAATAAGAAAAGAACAGACAGTATATGAGACATGGGGGTTTATTGGGACTCACCGACAGGGAGTTCAGGAGCAGCAGCTGGGCAAGGTTGTGCATCACTTTTGTGGACAAGGAGGGAACTGTTTATATGGGGTGAGGAGACAAGAGGTCATATGTGTGCTGAGGGTGAAGGAACAGAGACTATGCGCTTTCCTGGAAGGTCTGCCTCCCAACAAGATGTTTCCATCGATAAGGTGGGCCTGTACTCAGCTAGCCCCAAGCCATCAACATACTATGTACTTAGCATACCACTTCAAGGAGGGGGCCATGTGGGCATGTGGTGTTTCTGGGACAAAAGGTTACAAGCAGGCAGTGCTTGTCCCCACACACTGTACCCCACGTGTCCATGAGGCCCTCCTGCTGTTCATACTCATTGCACCATTCTGCCAGGAGACCCTTCAAGCCAGACACATAAGAAAGCATTGTAACCACAGACCACAGAAAGAAATGTGTATATGTCTGGGTTCAAGTCCCCACTCTTGTTTTATAATTCCTCAATGACAAGGAACACGATGACAACTGTTCGTAGCTACTTCCTGCTGACAGTGAAGTGAGGAGCTTGAGGAATGAAAATAGGAGAACTGCTGTTGAAAATAAGCTTAGGTACGCAGACTTCATTCTCGTAAAGACTCGCAACCTGAGATTCCCACCTTGAGTGGCATAGAAAGAGTCCCAAGGGCTGTTCTAAACCCCTTCAGTCCCACTTTAGCAATAGAAAATCTTGTTGGGAGGCATTTCCTCGACCAAGGTTTTGTTCCTTGGGGTGCTGGTCACATGAAAATGATCTTTTCTAGCAAAGCACATAGTCTCCGTCTCCTCGCCCCATATAAGCAGTTCCCTCCCTGTCCAGGATAGCAGTGTGCAACCCATCCAGTCGCCACTCCTAGACTCCCTGCGCTTAAGTCCCAGTAAACCCTCATCTTGTATGCTGTCTCCAGTCTTTCCTTCAGTCTCTGGAGCCCTTTCCCATCACAACTTGCCCGGCTGGGTGTGCGACTGGGCTTGCGACCACACAGTACTCCAACAGTCAAGAGAGACTTTACCCAAGGTACCAAGGGAGAAGATCCCAGAATCACTGTCCGAAGAGCCAAATGCATAATCAGGTTGCTGTCCCATAGGACCAATAGTTTGGGGAGGGTTCTGGGTAGGTTCAAAGAGAACAGTAGGTCAAAGTAGAGTTTCAGGACTGAGCATGTGCAAAGGCACCACTTTAAGTGATCTGTACCAAGGGAGGGGGTCATTTACTTAAGTGACAAAAGGAAGGAGCTGGAACCAAATAAAGAGATTGTAAAAATTACTAATGGATATGCTTAGAGATTTTTGTTGAGAGAATATTCCAAACTTAGTATTCCAATTATCCTGTCTCTGACGAGTGTATTAGACAATCAGAAAAGTAATAAACAACTATAAAAGTGAAAAAATAATCATAACCAAAGCAAATATTCAGAGACTAGCATAGAGATAATAGCAAAATTTTAAATTAAACTTTTTAACAATATGAATTCTTTAAATTAGTATATATACAATTTGCCATTAATTCTGACAGTAAGTGAATAACAAAAATAATGACAGATAATGCAGCATATAATATTTGTTTTCTTTAATTTTCATATCTATAGCTTCTAATAAAATTGGCTTACATATCAGAAAAAGAATTTCATGTCAGACAATTGTGTCCAGACTGTGGTTTGCAAAGTAGAATCATCCCTGTACAAGCTGGAGGAGGAATGACTAATTTTGTCTGGGGAAGTCTTTCACAAAGTCGGTGACTTTTGAGCTGCCTCCCAAAGCATGAGTTAGCCAGACAGGGAAGGAGAGCAGGGGCTGAACCTAGAAGTGGGAAAGAAGGTGGCTTGTTAAGCAAAGGATTTAGGGAATAGCAAAGAAAGATCTACCATGATTATCTCACTTCCACCATACTCCCTTCCCTCTAGAATGCCTTTCCCAGTCCCCACCCCCACTCCCATCATCCACTTGAAGGTCTAAACTTGTATTTTACCATCCCGTGAGTCTTCTTTGACTTCTCAAACCTGGCTGAGATCCCATGACTCTCTGCGCTTATCTCCACCAGAGCACTTACATTGTTGTAGTTTCCTATCCATCTGTCTGTATTCTCCACTAGTGTAAAAGCTCCTTAAGGACAGATTCTGTGTTCCCTATTGTATCCCTAGCCCCTGACACAGTGTCTAGCACATAGTAGATGCTCAACAAAGGCTTATTAGATGAGTGGCTGCAGGGCCCTGAATCTCTCTTCACTGTTTACCGTCTACTTATCCTTAGGTCTTAGCCTAGACTAGACTAACAAGTATGTTGTCAATGGAGTATGAGTGTGCTGAGAGAGTGATCCCTCAATCCTCAGGGTAGCCAGCCAGAGCATAGGGCAGCTAGACATCCTGGTCAGTCATTTTCAGCCAAGAGCACTCTCCTTTATGTTCTATAATGTGAGAAGCTTTGAGAAGCCCTTAGACATCACCTCTGTTTGGGCGCTTCTTTATGGTACCCTCATTTTAGCTTCTTTACTTGTCTGTATCCCCCACAGACTACATGCTGAATGAGTGGTATCTTTTTCAGAGTTGTATCCTTAGTGCCTGAGCCAAGACTCTGCACCCAGCATGTGTTCAACAAGTATTTGTTGAAAGCATGAATGAGGAAGCGTTTGTACTAAAATTTTAAAGACAATTTCAGTATGTAGAGGGAAAGAGCAGTCCATAGAGGACTACAAACTAGAAGATTCTGTCTAACTCATTCACTTTAATATCCACAGGTCCTAGGCCAGTGTCTGGCACACAAACATTTAATGAATATTTTTGAATGAATAGAATGAAATAGCAAAAAAACAAAGACAGAGATGTCTGAAGAATCTGAGTGATACCAGCGACAGGAGCAATTCTGTCTAGAACCAATAGTGCATGAAGAGAAATACTAATAAAAATAATGTTAGCCTCCCCTTCACCACAGGAGCTGTTTGATTAAGGCTCTTACCTACTTTAAGCGTATATTGAAGTCAGATAAACTAGGGAGAAACATCAGAAATCCTATATCCTATATAGAGTTAGATCAACAGTCCGGAGCCTCCAATGTTGCGATTTTTTTAACCAAAAGAGGGCAAGTTTATATAATTAAGACAGTTGCATGGTATTTAGGGCCCTTTGACTAGGGGTTCCTTTTGCTTAAACTCCCTCTTGCTCCCGGCATCCTGATGTCTGCTCCCGACTAGGATTATCTTGGATCTTGTCCGA